TCTCTCATTACTTTGATGATGGAGTACATAGTACAGTTGATAATCCCCCTAGGAATATTGTTGTTGGATTTGGTGATTATAGTGGCCTATCCATCTTTAAATGTGTCGGAAAACGTATTGGTTCCAAAATTGGAATACGTTGCTTGACGGTAGAGGAACGCAAAGTTGCTTCGTATTATGTGTTAATGAATTGCGAAGAATTGTGAGGATGGGTCAGGTAAAAAACCTACACTAAAATCTTTAATTTGTTATATTAAGATTTATTGAAATTAAAATACTAACAATATCTAAAAAACTATTATCATATTTTCTAGTTTATTTGAGAGAGAACAATGTCAAAATATGAATCCTCAACAAATTCAAGCAAAACAAGAGAGAGACCTTGTGCCTTGGTTTGAACAAGCTGTGAGTATTTAATAATATGACTATTCAATTCCTTAACATATATATGTTATTTCTCTTCAAATGCATCTAACATTTTCTTCTGCAATCTATATATTTAGGTAATTAGTGATGAATTTATTAATGTCCATGAGCATATCAAAAGTTTATCTAGCAATCCAAAAAATTATGTTTCTTGCTATAATGGATATATTGTTAATGGATTCCGATTTCACACTGCCCTCTATGGTAGAAATAAGTGAACAATGAATTGTGGTGTTTGTGTTGTCGGATTTATTGGTACTGAATCAGATTATGATTTTTATGGTGTGTTTTAAGAAATAATTTAGATTGAGTATTATGGATCGATCCATCAACAGACAGTTGTTTTATTCAAATGTGATTGATACGAGATTCCTCCTGCTCAAGGGGTTCAAGTGGATCAAAAACATTGATTGGTTGACATTAATCCTAGAAGATACCTTCGATCTTATGATACTTTCATTCTTGCTACTAAAGCAAGGCAAGTTTATTACACACCATACCCATCTATTAATCATGAAAGAAGGGGATGGATTGCTGCACTTAAAATTAAAGCTAAGAGTATCATTGAGGCTCTTGAGAATAAAGATGACCAACAAGAAGGGTTGACACCATATTTCCAAGATGATGAGCCTCCTATTCCTCAACATATAAATATTGATGACATTGCTTATGAACCCATGCAATGTTCTGATGGGAGGTTTATTGAAATACATGAAGAAGCTGATGTTGGGGAAGGGATTGGGGAAAAGGATGAAGAAGGAGAATGGGAAGATTTTGAGACATCAGAAGAAGAAAACATAGAAACATATGTTGAGGAGAATGATAGTAGTGATGAGTAGGCAATAATATTGAAACTATTGAAACTTATTATTATATTTATGGTTACTTCTTGCTTGTCTTTACTTTTATAATTATATTAGTTGTATTATATGTTATTTAATTTAAAATTGTATAACGTTAATATTACTTTGAAGTTAATATTTGCTTATTTATACTTCTATAATTGTATTAGTTGGAATAAAATTTATATGTTTATGTTTTTATCATATTATTAATTTTATATTTTTTTATTAATATTTATATAATTTTTTTATTTATATTAGTTATACTATATGTTATTCAACTAAAATATAATTTGATTATTATTTGCTTATCTATATAAATTAAAACTATTTTAATTTTTATTGTGATATTAATAGTAATTTATTTATTGCATTTAAATTACTTGTATTAATGATTTATTTTTCATTTGTTATATTTTTTTTACAGTGTATTGTTGTAGTTCTCACTGCACGAAGGCTGTTGAATCCACCCAACCGTTGCAACAGCCAAATCCATTTGACCTCTAGAGACGAGTTTAGGAGGAGGTTCCTACTGATGTGGTTCTGGAGACTCTAGCTTTAGATGCTGATATACAGGCCGAGTCTCCTAGTGATGAGGATACACCTGTGGGTACCCCCTAGTAGAGACAGGGACGGGGGCAAGCTAAACCCGTGCATATGCCTACAGATGGGACGAAGATCCTATTAGAGCTAGATGAGTATGGAGGTTTGCCACAACAGGTCAGATGGCAGATTGTAGTTCAGTTGCGGGAGAATCTCCCAGATGCTTACACATCGTGGGGATAGGTTCGTCGTGAGCATCGGGACATGTATTGGAATATATTCAGTGTACGCCCTAAACACTTAATTTCTATCTACAAATTAGATATTTTCAATTTCTATCTTTAAATTTTAAGTAATTTGATTTTTTTTGTTATTATCATTAATATTTTTGTTGTTAAATTATTTATTTATTTATATTTCTATTATTTTTAGCAAACATATGAATGGGATCCTGCGATTGATTAGATTGTAGAGGATTTATGGAATGTGACAGTAAGGATCAAGTTCAAGCATGCACTTAGTGAGTTGAACGCTAAGTGTGCAAGGAGAAACATTCAAGTTCAGCCTCCAGATATGAATCTAGAGTTATGGACGAGGCTTGTTTATTTATGGACTGAGGTAGTGGAGTAAATTCATGTGTTTATTATTATTATTATTTATTTTTAATTTTCAATTGCAATGTTTAATGTTTTTGTCATATTATTAATTAAGAAAATATATGTGTTCACCACTTTTACAGGACGAGGGTCATTTGAGAAGGTCAAGTTCT